CAACTTAGCATCTTGAATTAGAAAGCAATGGCTTTCTTGCTTGTGCTACCAATTCCCCTAGCTGTAAGCCTGCCAACCTTCTAAATAGTCCTTTATGTGTGGTTCAGAGTTCTGGCACCATCCCCTGAACCTGCTTGGTCTGGTATTCTATGTTGTTGCTGATGGAGCTCCTCACTGCACTTCTACCCAATGCACCATCTTGTTTGTCCTCCCCTTTCTTGTCTTCTTAATAGCCATTTGCTTGCTTCTTGTGTGACATTCTTGATGTCGTCCCAGAACTTTTCTCGTCTTCTGTCATTAGTGTTCAATGGAGCAAATCTGTTCTTGAGGTGATCTCCAAATTCAGGTGGGATATATTCAAGGTCAAACTTTGGTTCTCAGGGACTTGTTTAAATTTTCTTCAGCTTCAGCCTGAACTTGTGTATGAGCAATTGATGGTGTGTTCCACAATCTGCCCTGGTCATATTTTGACTGATGATATGGAGCTTTTCCACCATCTCTTTCTACAAATGTAGTGAACTTGATTTCTGCATATTCTTTCAGTGTTTTATATATGTCTTTTATGTTGTTTAAAAAAGTATTTGCAATGAAGAAGTCATTGGTCTTGCAGAAGTGTATCATGTGATCTCTAACATAGTTTATATCATCAAGATCATGTTTTCCAACTACTGATCCATCCTCCTTGTTTCCAATCTTTGCATTCCAATCGCCAGTAATTATCAATACATCTTGATTGCATGTTTGAACAACTTGAGACTGAAGAAGTTGGTGGAATTCTTCAATTTATCACTGGCTTTCATGTTTGGTTTGTAAATTTGAATAATAGTGGTATTAAATGGTCTTCCTTGTAGGCATATGGATATTGTCCTATCACAGATCGCATTGTACTTCAAAATGGATATTGAAATATTCTTTTCAGTGATAAATGAGACACCTTTCTCTTCAATTTGTCTTTCCTGGCATAGTAATCCATATGATTGCCAGATTAAAAATGGCCACTATTGGTCCATTTCAGCTCACTAATGTGTATGCATTCCGTTTCATTTTTGACAGCTTCCAGTTTTCCTAGTTTCATACTTTGCATATTCCATGTTCTGATTTTTAATGGATGTTTACAGCTGTTTCTCCTCATTTTGAGTTGTGCCCCATCCACAAATAAAGGTCCCGAAGACTTTATTCCATTCACGTCATCACGATAAACTGTACTTTGAGGAAGTAGCTCTGCCCCAACTATATTTTGAGAGCCTTCCGACCTGAGGGACTCACTTTCCAGCACTATATCGTACACTATCCTGATGCTCTTGATCTTGTTTCAGTATTCAGTATTCTGGTGCTGACAATCTTCTACTGCTATTCATAAAGGAATTTGTTGTTGTTGTTATGTGCCGTGGAGTTGGTTCCAACTCATAGCGACCCTGTACAGGGTTTCCAAGGCTGTAAATCTTTATGGGAGCAGAAATCCTCATCTTTCTCCCACGGACCGGCTAGTTCGCAGCCCGATTCGTAACCACTACCCACTCACCTATTGAAAGACATCCTGATTGCTTCCATTTTTTTGACTATTATGAAGAAAGCTGCCACAGACATTCATGGACATGTTATAATGAGGACAAACATTCTCAACTCACTTAGGCATGTTGCTGGATTATATGATTAGACTATGTTTAGCTGTGTAAGAAACCGCCAGACTGTCTTGCAACAGAGTGGCACCATTTACACGCCTACCAGAAATGAATCCATTTTCCTGTTGCTCTACATCCTACCCAGTATTGGGTAGTGTTCTACATCATAACAAGTAATGATTGGGTAGTGCTCTACATCATAACCAATACTGGGTAGTGTCAGTGTTTTGGATTTTAGCCATTCTAATAAGGTGTGTGGATTCCTGGTGTGGTGCTGTAGGATCAGCACTGAACTGCAAACCATAGTTCAAACCCACCAGATGTTTCTCAGAAACCCTATACAGGGTCGCTATGAGTAGGAAGCGACTCAACAGCACTTAACAACAACAACAAATAAGTGTGTAGTAGGACTGAATCTCTTACATTGGTAAGTCTTCCGTACTTCCTAGTATACTGTATATAGTTGTTGTTGTGTCACACATAGTAGGTATTCAGTTTTTAATGAATTAATGGTTATTACGATCAGAGATTGGAAAACGTTTTCTGTAAAAGGTCAGATATTGTTAATACCTCAGGCTTGTGAACTATGTGTCTGTCACAACCACTCACCTCGGATTTTGTAGCACAAATGCAGCTGTAGAGAACATGTCAGCGAATCAGTGTGGCTGTGTCATAATAAAACTTCATTTACAAAAGACTGGGCTTACTGGTCAGAAAGAGAGTGGAGGAATTTGAGACTACGGTCTTCAACCACCCATCAGGTCTGGGAAGGAACTCATCCTCATGGCCCAAAATTTAACCAAGTAGTTGTTGTTGTTGTTATGTGCCTTTGAGTTGGTGCCGACCCATAGCGACCCTGTATAGGGTTTTCAAGTAGTGGTTGGTGAGCTTGAACCACTGACCTTGTGATTCAAACAACCTTGCAGTCCAGCTCATTAGCCCACAGAGCCACACCAGGACTCAGTAGTAGATAGGTAGAAAAGGGCACAGAACACTAGCGAATGGTTAATTCATTCACCATAGAATGGTTATTCACTCAAAGTCAAAAAGGCAGCATTTACCTAAGGACAAAGTAGAGAAGGGATGGGCAGATGGGAAGAATGGAAATAGTAACCACAGGGAGGGAATAAAACAGCTCTGGTTGCGAGGAGGGGATTGCATTCATTGAAATGAAACAAAGTGTATGACTTGATGATTGTAAAACTGATGATCTTGTCTGTAAACCTTCACTCACAAGAAAAAGTTGGAAAAAAACCCTGAAAGTTTAATTTACAAAAAACAGGTCCTGGACCAATTTTAACGTGGAGTCCATAGTTTACTTATGTAACTGAAGGTCTACAATGGTGGGTAAAAATTGGGGACCTAGAAAAAGTTACATGATTTTCTCCCTAGTTTTTTTTTTTTTTTTTCTGTTAGAGATAAAGATGAATTAGATTTGCTTTCTTAAATTTTTCAGATTTTCTATAATATCCTATTAAAGAATAAGTTTAAGAATCTGCCATTCATCAGTCTTCCCAAGTAACAGTAGCCATAAGAAGGGGTTATATGATGAGCTGTGATTATATTCATGCATATTCTGAGTTTGGAATTTGCAAAATGACGTCTGATAACCCAGTGCATTCCTTTTTTTTTTTTTTAAAGAAGAATTGTAAGAAGGAGCCAACTGGTTTATCACCTACTTGCTTTAAGCAGCACATCCTATTACAAAGAGTATACGATTTGATATCAGATAGGCCTGTGTTTGGTTCCTGTGTCTAGAATCTATGGCTATGAGATCTGGAGCAAGTTACTTCTCCTTTCTGAGCCTCAGTTTCCTTTCCTGTAATTGTATAGATACTTGTAGAGGTATACGAGGCTTATACCACAGTGTCTGGGGTTTACCCGCCATGCATTTAGCGATAAAGCTGATGATAGTGAGCATGGTGAGTCTACCATCCATGGTATATGCCTTCACATTAGGATACCCAGACGATTTCTCTCACATCACAGCAGTGAGGTGGGTACAGTCAATTCACAAGTATGTATTTGACCCTAACTGCAAATCTAACCTGGTTTTCGTTATGTGGGCCAATATTGGGAAGAATGACATTCTCATAATACAGTGTAGTTCTTTGTAGATGAATGGTTTTCAAATTGCTCTTGGAAAGAGGTGGGTTGAACAATCATCGTAAAGGCCTAACTCTTTGGGAGCAAGAATTTTCAGCATCTTTGCAAAGCCAGCAAAACATGAATATGATCGGGACGTATTGCTTAGGTGTGTTCATGCTGTCCAGTCTATAAAACAACTAGGCTGTGTGTTTTCCCTTAGAAAACATCACGTGAGCTTTGACATTAGTACCACAGTTAAACAGGACTTTGAACCAATTCAAAGTGGTTAAGCCAACTGGAATTTGCAAAATGTGAGTGTCTGGAATGATAATCAGAAAGGAAATGTTATGGGCCCTGGAGTAGCAAACTCAGAAGAGATGCAGTGATAAATTTGAGGAGCCTAAAGCTGGAGATAAAGGAGCTCTGGTAGCATAGTGGTTACGAATCAGGCTGTGAATTATAAGGTCAGCAGTTCAAAACTGTTCTGTGGGAGAAAGATGAGGCTTTCTGCTCCCGTAAAGATTTACAGCCTCAGAAACCCTGTACAGGGTCGCTATGGTCGGAATCAACCCAACAACACTTAACAACAACAACAATGCTGAAGATTGTATTCTTGCCAGGGTTGTGGAGAACGCACATACTCAGAGTGGTTTGTTTGGCCACTATCTTTGAGCAGAGCATCTTTCTTTCCAATTCTGTCATGGAAGAGATTCGGTTGCTATGCAACGTACACACTGCCCTTGTTTTCTAAGAGGAAGATTAAGTTTCCAACAGAGTATCAGCCCATAATTTTCCTATTTTAGTTTTCATTCCACCCACAGTTTTCAAATTCTGATTTATTACAGTTTCATTCCACCAACCATGACTGAACCGGGAAGAATCGTGAAACCCTGCTGCTAAGCCAATATTTTGCGTTGGTTTACATGCCAGTTTAGCAGTTGCTGTAACCCAGATAATATGCATAGACATGTCATGTCAAGTTCCTGTGCTTACTATGTAAAATGGGAATTATAATTCTCCTACTGACTTCACCTTGTCATTGGGATGACACATTGATGGCAGTATAGAAAAAAGCAAGAAACCATTCAAGACTGCATTTTTATATGATCATCCCAAAGTTCAGGCAACTGTATACTTTAAGCAGTTAACAGATTATTATTTTCCTGAATAAATGGAAATGCAATAAATCCATTAAACTAAAACTGTGTTGAACATTTTGCTAGCTTGAGAAATGATAGTACATTTGTGTGTTTCCCTTTGGATTCACATCTGAAATGTATTTGTCAATAGGTTTTGCTCCCATCAGTGGAATGTGTAGCAAGTACCGAAGTTGTACCATCAATGAGGACACAGGGCTTGGCCTGGCCTTCACCATTGCTCATGAATCAGGACACAAGTAAGTGGCCCCTTGACTCATAATTATGGAGAAAGACCACTGATTTGACCACTACATGACATTCCTCTAGTGATCCTTAATTCATCTGTTGTTCTTAGGTGCCATCAAGTTGGTACCAACTCATAGCGATCCTATGCACAACAGAACAAAACACCGCCCAGTCCTGGACTAACCTCACAATGGTTGCCACACTTGAGCTCATTGATGCTGCCACTTTGCCAATCCGTCTCACTGGGGGGTCTTCCTCTTATTCATCTAGATAGAATAAATAGGACCAATCTTGTATAAATCTTAGAATAGTGTGTGATCTAGAAGGAAAACCAGTGGCCATTAATTCAGTGCCAGCTCATGGTGACCCTATGTGTGTCATTGTAGACCTCTGCTTCATAGAGGTTTCAATGGCTGGTTGTATAGAAGTAGATCACCAGGCCTCTTTTTTTTTCGCGGGGGGGCTTGAACACCCACCTTTTGGTTAGGATCTGAGTTCATTCACCATTTGTTCCACCCAGGGACTCCTCTGTATAGGAAGTGTTCAATAAACGCCATCACTGTGGATGTGAGGAGACTCGGGAATCATAATGTTACAATGTGTATGATTTCTAGGGAGTAAATCACCTAACGTTATATTTGCTTTCCAGTTGTCAGAATGTTCTGTGGAGAACCCACACATAAGAGAGCTTTCTCATATAATGTATTCAAAACAAGTTCTTCTTTTCTTCCGGTAGATAAGGTCAACCATAGTTATGTTTATGATTATGTTAGAGTTTATTTTTAAGCAGGGTTTATTATTTCAGTTATTAAATAGTCATCTTGGAGAACAGGTTTCATGTCGTGCTTGTCTAGGTCCCTAAACAGTTTATAATCGGCTGTCCTGTTCCTAACCTTCTACTCTATCCGAGCTCTCTTACCATAGATAGGTCCATGGTAAGTGGCAAGAGAAGAATTTTGCTATTTGAAATAAAAGAATGACTATCTCATCACTTTAGCTTAGAAAACCTGGCCGGAATGATCTAGCTTTTAAAGTGTGTAACTGGTGTGGCACAATATAATAAAGCACTGAACCTCAAGGTCATTTTGAACCACAAGGTCAGTGGTTCAAACTCACCAGCCGCTCCTTGAAACCTTATACAGGGTGGGGTCACTATGAGTCAGAACTCACTCAATGGCACTTAACAACAACAACAAAGTGTATAACAGATACACCATTTTAAAAATTTTCTTTGGGGGGATGGGGTGGGATGGGGGCAAGACTTAACAAAGCCCCCAACATTCTTTATCATTTTCTATATGAATAATATTACAATATTTTATATAACAACTCATTTTGGTCTTTCTCCTTTATTATAATTTGATGATTCTCAGAGTATCTTTTTCTTCCCCTGGTTACAATCTGGAAAGCATATTCACACAAGAATTTTCTTACCTCCATGCCTCCTTCCTTGTTCATTCCAGCTTCGGCATGATTCATGATGGAGAAGGCAACCCCTGCAGAAAGACTGAAGGCAACATCATGTCCCCCACACTTATGGGAAACAACGGAGTGTTTTCCTGGTCTTCCTGCAGCCGGCAGTATCTCAAGAAATTCCTTAGGTAAGACCTGCCAGTTGTAAGATGGCAATGATCAGTAGATGTGAAGACAGTCGCTCAGGGGAAGGATCTTTTGAACTGTCAATGAGCAGAAAGACTGATGAATTACCTTGATGATGGTGATGATGCTGAGTCCCTACAAGTGCTAACTGCTTTCTATTTATTGTCTCAGTCAATCCTCACAGCAATATTCCTATTTTCCTGATTTTAGAGTTGAGGAAACTGAGTCTTCGAGAAGTGAATTCTGTGACTTAGGGTCCTATAGCAGTAAGTGGCAGACACTTAGATAAATTCTAGTTCCAGAATCCGTACTCTTCATATCTTTTCCCTGACTTCCAGACACTGCTTCATAGACAACACACAGATACACTGATGTTGTGAATCGTTTCCAACTCATAACGACCCTGTATAGTGTTTCTGAGGAGCAGCTGGTGGATTTGAACTGATGACCTTGTGGTTCATAAACCAGTGCTGATCCACAGCAGAAGTCAAAAAGGTTGATGGAGAAAATAGAATGAAAAGATAATAACATCTGTGTCTATAGATATACTCGATACAGGCTGTTACATTTTCGTTGCATTTTTCCATGAACCTTTTGAAGTGCCCTCAGAGTTCCATTTGATCGTCACTAAGTATTGTAATGTGATCAGTTTGGTCTTGAATGCCTTCAAAAATGTCCAGACTATGTAAGTGGTTTTTAATGGTTACAGCCCTGACTTGATTGGCTGGTCTGTTTGGAATGGCCATGAGCTAGGCCCATGTCTACAAGATATCCAAAGGGAGGGAAACTGCAGTGTTGTTGGGTTGATTCTAACTCATAGTACTAAATCCTTAGGGATTCTGAGGCTGTAGTTCTTTGTGGGAGCAGACAGCTTCATCTTTTTCCTATGGAGCATTTGGTGGGCTTGAACTGCTCATCTTATGGTTAGCATCCTAATACTTAACCCACTGGACCACCAGGATTCCCAGGGGTAGGGAGGCAACATAGAAGGCTTTTGATAACTCAGAATTTCTAGTTTGCATATATAAAAATGGGAGGTAGGCAGGTGGTATTATTTGATTTATATTAGATGATGAACCCAAAGTTAAAACTCTCTGAACTTGTAGTTCTATGTTTGACCATTTGATTATAAATAATAATCTATAGCTGTTACATTTAAATATACTCATAAACATGTACGTATACCTGTGTGTATATATATGTATATATATATATGCATACCCACTTAATCTATGGGATGTCCCCTCAATCTGTGTTGACCCACAAGAATATTCCAGGTATCTTCCTTTAACCAGATGTTAGGGAAGTTATAGTTTCTTTGGGAATTGGTATTCTTAATAAGTGATTACCTATTTGCAGACATTTGCAGAATTGGCAGTATACACAGGTGAAGCTGATTAAAAGCAAGGCCATGCGAATAATGCAAGTAGAGTAATAAAAACACAGTAAATCTCCTGCTAACAGTCAACTTTCCTGCATAGAAGATTTTCTCTTTAGTTAAAACGTCTTGTGGTTTGGGGTCCAAATTACCTCCCCTAACTCTCGTAAGGGTTATTGTTGTTGTCAACTAGTTGGTTCTGACTCATATCTACCCTGCATGGGGTTTCCAAGGCTTCATGGGAGCACAAAGCCTCACCTTTCTTCCACGGAGTAGCTGGGAAGCTCAACTTGCTGACCTTGTGGTTCGCAATCCAGTGCGTATTGTATGGAGCTACTGTGCTCCTTCATGTAAGGGTAGAACTAATATCATAAATCAAGGTCTGCTTGGATGTAGATTGAATTTCCATTTTTAATATGTTAAATGCTTTTGTTTAAAAATAATAATAGCAAGCAATACTAGGGTTGTATCATATCCAACTCATAGTGGCCCAGTCGGACCATATGGCTTCCTATATGGCTTCCGAGGCTGTAAATCTTTACAGAAACAGACTGCTTCCTTTCTCTTCCATGGAGTGTCTGGTGGGTTCCAACTTCACAGGTTAGCAACCCGACACTGATCCCACTGTACCACGAGGTCCCAACAGCAATAACTAACTGAAACTGAGGGACATATATACCTATGCTGTGTTAAGTATAGTATGTGTTCTTTTTGGATGGTTCTAATAACTCTTGTGGGAATTGTGGTCATTAATGAGGCATATGAATAAGGAACATCGTAGAAGAATTGATGCATTTGGGTTAGAGTGTTGGAGAAAAATATTAAAAGTACCTTGAACTGCTAGAAGAACAAACAAATCTATTCTGGAAGAAGTACAGCTAAAATGTTCCATAGAAGCCAAGATGTCAAGACTTCGTCTCTCATATTTTGGACATATGATCAGGAGGGACCAGTCCCTGGAGAAGGACATGATTCTTGATAAAATGGAAGGTCGTGAAAAACAGGAAAACTAACAAAATGGATTGGCACAGTGGCAGTAGGAGTAGACTCAAGTTTGTTAATGATTGTTAGACAACGCAGGACCAACAGTGTTCAGTGTGTTGTGCATACACAATCGCTATGAGTCAGAATCAACTAGATAGTTCCTAACAACAACATATAAGGTATATCAAGGTCACACAACTTGGTTCTGGTTACCTGATTGTCTGGAACCCCCATCTCTCTGATTCTAAAATCATACTTTAACCACCATGCTATCTTACTTCTCAGTGACAGAAAAGACAAATTAATGACAAATAAATGAAGGTAAGGTATCTTCAAAGAATATTCATGCCATCGAGACTAATTCTTTTTCTCAACATTTCCCTGTTAAACAGCCCTTGAGAGAATTTTCTATCTTAAGCCCCAGTATAAAAAGAGGCTTCAAAACATTAGTAGAAAAATTCTGTGATCGTGTAATTCCATTTTTTCATGAACTCATTGAAGCCCCCTTGTAGCTTTCCGAATCCTAATTTCTTTCAGTTGTCTTACTCCTTCTTTGCTTATAAAGATTCTTATTATTATTTGTTGTTGTTGTTAAGTGCCTTGGAGTCAGTTCCTTTCTGACTCATAGTAACCCTGTAGAGGGTTTCCAAGGAGTAGTTGATGCATTTGAACCACCAACCTTGCGTTTCAAACCAACCTTGCAGTCCAGTGCTTATCCTATAGTGCCACAACAGGACTCCAAAGATTATTTAAGATAAGGGACATCTGACCTCTGCCCCATCAGCTGTAAACTCCTTGAGGTCAGGCACTCTCTCTGTCTGGTTGATGTTGTACCTTAGTTGTTGTTAAGTAACAAGGAATCAGTTCTGACTCAGAGCGACCCTGTGTAGGGTTTCTGAGACTTGTAAAATCTTCATGGGAATAGAAGGCCTCATCTTTCTCACGTGAAGTAGCTAGCGGCCTCAAAACACTGCCCTTGTCGTTCCCAGTCCAGTGCTTATCCTGTGGAGACATTAGCATAATGCATACGACAGAGTAGACACTCATGTGTTGAATACATGTTGTTGAATAAGCCTGGTGAGTGGAGTTTTCAAATATGTTGACCTTTCCCATCTCCCATCAAACAGAATCCCTAAGATGTCTATAACTTCCCAGACTGTGTCAGAGCCTTTGTGGTCATGAGAACCCCATCCTCTTAGGCAGAACTCACCTGTTGGTATAAACATATTCTCTAAATGCATTCCTGTTTCTCTAAACATGTTGACAATCATACGGTGCCTTCAGAGGTTCCTTGGTGCAAGTGGACAGCTATCAGAGAATCCCAGTGAGTAATGTGGATATGGTACCTTTACAGCACACCCCAGGCTGGTTGTCTGGTGGATGAGCCCAAGCAAACAGGACAATATACATATCCGGACAAACTGCCAGGACAGATTTATGACGCTGACACGCAATGCAAGTGGCAATTTGGAGCAAAAGCCAAGTTATGCAGCCTTGGATTTGCGAAGGTATGTTTGCTTGTGATTTTAAACTTGCATTAAGATTCTGTGATGTGTCTGTGTACCGAACAGAAGTATAAACATTTGGTTTAGTAAGGCCAAGGGTTATCTCTAAAATGTCGGTTGTTTGGCATGAAAATGAAGTGGCAATTTTACTGTCTATGGATTTCCTTAGCTTCTCTCAAGTAGTCTATGGCTCCTTAAAATCCCTTTGAGCCAGGGGACAGGCCTGTGGAGTGTACCCTTTGGTTACTTGATGATGCATGGAGGGAATTGTAATCATTGCAATGAAACGAAATACGATAGGATGAAGTAAAACTGATGTTCTCCTATGTAAACCCACATAATTCACAATAAAAAACTTTAAAAAAAAAAAAGTCTTTTGATTACATCTGTGGAAGAAAATCCTACCTCCTTAGGTGAAGAGTTGATCTCCAGTCCTAAATCTGGAAAAAGTTCCCTTGATCTATTGGCAGGCATTGTTGGGTTTTATATTTATGTTTATTTTGAATACAATGCTTTAAAAATCATTGTTGTTGTTAGCTACTGTCAAGTTGGTTTCCATTCATATTTACCCACTGTACAACAGAATGTGACACTGCCTGGCTATGTTACATCGTTACAGATATTGCTACATTTGAGCTCATTGTTGCAGGCAATGTGTGTCAGTCCGTTTCATGAGAGTCTTCCTGTTTTCCCTGGACCCTCTGCTTTACCAAGCATGATGTCCTTCTCCCCTTTTTTGGTCCCTCCTGATAATACATCCAAAGTATGTGAGATGAAGTCTTACCCTCCTCGCTTCTAACGAAAATTCTAACTGTACTTCTTCTGAGACAGATTTGTTCATTTATCTGGAAGTTCATGGTGTATTCAATATTCTTCACCAACACGTAATTCAAACACATCATTGCTTCTCCAGCTTTCCTTATTCATTGTCCATATTTCTCATGCATATGAGGCGATTGAAAATACTATGGCTAGGATCAAGTGCACTTTAGTCTTGAAAGTGATATCATTACTTTTTTTTTTTTAAGTTTTTATTGTGAATTAAGTGATAGTTTACATGGGAGAACATTAGCTTTACATTCATCCTATCCTATATCGTTTCATTGCCATGGTTAC